TACTGAATAAACTCTACTGCTCATTCGTAAGGCAGATTCCCCTGAGAAGAATGAGCCAGAAACTCTAGGAGTTGCTCTTTGTAAATATACATTTCAATGCATTTATCATTACAATATTTAATTTAAACATCTTAGATCGAGACTACCTGCATGAGTTAAACTGATCTTCACCACGGATTTTTGTCATCCAGTACGCAGAAGCTGTATAGTAATGACCTGTAGTATAAAGATTTGGTTTCACTATAGTTTTAAACCTCGTAAATGGCAATTGATTTATATAATCGTTTTATCTTTAATTTCTTCTAAGTAAATGTTAATTGCTGAATAAAAGTCTCTTTCCTTAAATTACTTGCTGACTTAGTAGCAGTAGAGTGCCTTGTTAAAGAGTCTGTCCAGGGAAGTACCTTTCCTATTTCTGCCGCCAAGCAATAATGTGAGCATTACTGCGTTACGGTTTTGGAAGGTCAGGATGTTGGTGAAAGTACAGGCACATGGGACTTGTCAACTTATGTTTCAGAGTGACAGACGCCGTTGCAGTGCCCCTCAGATTAAAGCTCTGAGTGGCACTACAACTGCTATTGACAGGCGTGTCGCTTACCAGCAGGCGCACGACTTGTTCCGCTCGTCTCTTAATAAAAAGAAACTGGACATTTGCCGAATTCTTTCAAGGCGAATTCGTCTACCTAAAAAATCTTAAAAAAAAACCGCGTAAGTAATACGTGGAAAAATGACCCTCTTTATTTTTTTGCAAATATCAACAGCTATTGGCACAACTTTTTCAATTTCCTTTAAAATATAAATCGCGAGCATCAAACGCCGAATAATTATGTGCGTAATGTTAGAGGAAGCGGCCAAAAGCGTTGTGATGAGAAACGACGCCATAGAAGACGGCAAACGAAGACTGTATAGCAAAATCTTCTAGTTTGAGAATGAAACTTTAAGCTTAGACAACGGCACGTCTCCACTCGTAAGGAATTCAAGTCACTTCTATGCCATTTACGATAAACTGGTCCATGTTTCCAAATAAGTCTGTGGCTCTAGTGGAAAGGGGTACAAGTAAAAACAATCCAAAATTACAAGGAAACGCGAAAAACGCTTAACGCTTCTCACATCTCCTTGTAAAGTTGGGTATTTTTACTCGTATCCCTTTTTACTAGAGCCACAGAAATATTATAAAAACCTTATTATAATGTTACTATTATGAACTAAATATAATTTGAGTTACTTTTACCCCTGTTATTCATCACGTTGCCAGCAATCATGGCATAACATCGTGTTACAAAGTTAATTCGCACAGAACACTATTAACAACAAAAGTCTTGTCTCGCAAATTAATATTTACTCCCATAATTTTCCCAGTCGGTGGGAAAGAAGCGGAAAAATGAAGCAGGAAGCGAGCTTCCTTGTTTTATTGATTAAAAAAGTTTATTAATCATATTGCCGACGGGAGGCTAGTTCAGTATAGGAATTACGTGATATTTTTTTTGTTTAATTACTTTGATTATTAATGCTCAGTTGTGGCATGGACCAGGAACTGTAAAAGGACTGCTACTATCCATCCATCCATCAATCCGTACTACTATGAGCTTTTAGCTTTGCCTGTCAAATTCGTACTGTGACCTCACAAAAACAATTCACTTTCGATGCAGTTTACGTTCCCTATTCAAAATCCGTTCACCTTTTCTTTCATAATAAAATCGTATCATGAGGTGCCATTTGCCATGCAAGTGGTGGTCTTATCTGTCAAAATAAACAATTTAAAGGAAGTTACTATGATTTTGTCAAATGTTTAAGAAATTTCGTAACATCATTATTTGTTATATTTTTAGGCTATATGCATAGCCAATTGTTAATAAATAAATACTATTATTATTAATCGTAATTGCAATATTTAAATTGTATTTTAATTATTTCAACAATTTCATTGAGATAGCGAAAATCGTAAAATAATGCCATATTTAATTTTAACGCACTAATCGTAACTCTAAAGGAGGTTAAATTTCCGTCTTGTGTCTAGATGGCGCTGATCTATAGCCTGGAAGTTGTTTATGTTATGTAAACGGCCGTGGATATGAATTAATTCTTCTTTTACGAAAATACAAGTAGACAGCTTTCTTTCTTCTTATATAATTCTATTTAAATATTTTGTGAACTTTGACAGACATGCGTATCATTATATGTCATTGTGTGTTACAAACTAATTCATAAACTACCGCTTTCTAATAAGGGTAAACACAATAAAAGAATATCCAGCAGTATCCATAAAAATAAGTTAAATTAGCGCCATCTAGTTGATTTGTTTGTTATCGCTAGAAATTAGAGTAGCTTTAATAAATTGCAACCTGTCAATATAAAAGAATTAGTTACAAAAATAGCTATTCGGTACTCGTAGCGACATCTAGTTTACCAATAAGTACTAAATACCCGACAACGCAGTCTTATGTCGCGTTTAGCAGTCGTTTTGAGTATTGGCCCACTCGATGTAAAAGGCCACATCTGCAAAATGACAACTTTTTTTATAATATCAAGTGACGGAACGAACAAGTCGTGCTACACCTATGGTATGGATGGTAGCCTGTCCATAACAGTTGCAGTGACACTCAGAGCTTTAAATCGCAAAGATCTGAGGGGCACTGCTACATAAGTCCCATGTGCCTGTAATTTCACCAGCAACCTTACCCTTCAAAATCGGAACACAGTAATGTTCACATTACTGCTTGGCGGCAGAGCGGAGAGCTCTACTGCTATTAATAACTTTTCAGGAGAGAGGTTTGAGAATCTATACTATCTCACTTAGCTTGTGTCGAGTGGCAGGTACACTGGCTTTATTTCAAAATTTATGTCTTTACAAACGAAGCCAAAGCCTTTTGAAAAATGTATATCGTATAGGATGTGTTCGAATCCGATAAGGGGGCCTACCATATAACCTTTCCAAAAACAATCTTATCTCAATGTAAGCTTAAAGTAAGCTTGTTATAATATTACTCATATTCGTACCATGATAAACTTGTCTACCAAGAAATGTATTATTGCTAAAGTGACTGAAAGAACGAATGATTTCCCAATATTGTCTATTTCTTACTAAAAATAGGAAAGAAATAACGCTATATAAACTGTATAATGCCGTCTCTTTCTTTTTTGATGTTCCGACTCGTGTTATCGTAGTAGATAAAGTACTTAATGTTATTTACATTCAAAGAATTTTAACTGCCAAAAAAAGAAAAGTATGTAATAATGAAATCTATTAAAATTACGTTGCTTTCAATTATTATTCCGCAATTTCACGAAGAAAAATAAATAAAACAAGCTGAGTTTTGATAATCACGTTGTGAATTCGGAACTATAGTCTGGTGTCAACTGTTAGTTTCGCCAAGGAGCATATAGATGGCGCTGTCATAATTTTACGAAATAAACATCGCGTATTTTTATTTTACGAGAAATTATTTCCTATGTGCTATTAAATAAAAAATATACAAAATATTGAAGAGATATATGTAAATACATAAGTTCAACTTAACTTTTAATGATTACAAATCAATATTAAGACAATAAAACTGAAAATAATATTGTTTCCATTGCATCCGTGTAACTATTTTAAAATTGCTGAATTTGACATAAGAGCAATATTATTTTAATGTCAAAGTCGCGTCATGGTACAAACTGGATGAATGAATAGTTATACCGCTGCCAATAAAACATCATAGTTTTAACATTACAAATAAGCTTACTTTAAGCGTGTTATGGTACGAAAAATCAAAGTAAGGTTAAAGTAATATTGTTTTAAGAGGTTGTGGTAGGCCCCCTGGTGATATAAAAAAAAAGGATGTGTTTATTACGTATAACTTCTCACATCCAATGTTTGACAGTATTTTTTTTAATACTATAGGTAGGTATATATGGCTTTGCTTTACAAATGCCACTAAAAAAAGAAACCGTTTCGTCTTTAAGCACCTCAAAATATGACCTTAATCATCGTGTTAACTAAATAACAATAAAATAAAAAGTCATTTATTTCTCCTCAAAACATTAGAAACACAATACTTAAAAAAGACAATTGAATGATGTGGACAAAAAGGTAAACGACTCAGCATTGCTGATTTTCAGTCTCCACCTGTAGCTAGCTAGCTGTTCGCTTGCTGTAGATTTTTCTATACATTTAACCTAAAATTTAAAATTATACTACTAGGAGCTTTAATAGACCAGTTGTTACTCGATTCTCGTACAGATAGGAGCCATGGCTTACATCGTTTTTTTTAATGTTAACAACGTTTTAGCGTTGGAGGAGACTCGTGCCCAGCAGGACGTCTGATGGTTGACGACGATGATTAAATAAAATTTATTTAGAATTACGAAAGCAAAGAAACCTTCAAACTGGTGACGGTCATCATCGTACCTGTCGAATCAGTAGAACAGTTTCAGTAGTAATAGAGCTTCTTGTGAAGGGGTTCCTTGTGACGTCCAGACATTACTGCCACCTTAAAGCTCGCATTATTGCGTTCTAGCTTAGACGGGTGCTGGCGAAATTACAGACACATACTTACTCCTCTGGCTCAGCGACCCAAAATGTGTCCCGGCCTCCGAAACGAGGTGATACCAGTTTCTTCGGTCCTGTCCAATCTCTCGCCAATTGATGGCTTGTAATTCGCGCAGGTCCACCTCCATGGCGTCGCTCCAAGGATGCCTGAGACGACCAACCGGTCTTCGTCCAGCAGGTCGACCCAGATAGGCTCTTTTCACGTTCCGATCCTCTCCCATTCTGTCTAAATGGCCGAGCCAGCGAAGTTTGTACGCTTTGGTTTCGCCGATGATAGTTGGCTGGGCGACGAGATCTTCTATTGCGGCGTTTGTATGGACGCTCTACCTGCCATTCTCTGTCTGAGTGGCTCTGCAACTGCTATGGACAGGCGTGTCGCTTACCACCAAGTTCACGACTTGTTCGTCCCGTTACATGGTATCAAAAACACATTCCCTTGAGTCTTATTGCATGCTATTTGTTACAGAAACTTCACCTCCTGTCCCCACCAGCGTTTCAAGTGGAAAGAGTGGTAACCAGTCCATGTGGCAGCAGGATATGCGTCTGGGGGTCTCGAGGGGTCACAGTGGCTGAGTTGCCGTCGCGATGGGGAAGAGGAGGGCTTTTCGATGCTGGCAACCAGACGGTTTTGTGCAAGTAAGTATTATTTATATTTGCTATTGTTCCTTTTTTTGTCGGCCGAGGTCAAGAACTCAGGTTCAAGAACAAGCTTACGATACGTGTTGAATCGAGCAGCACTGTTCTCTGCATATGTGCTGAGAGATTATTTCAGCGCAGACTACATATTGTTATTACACATAGGTTTACTATGAAATAGCTGAATACACCCATAACGTATTGCTCTGTAACAACAATTTTCTTAACCTTTACCATGCTGCGGCATTTTAAAATACTATCGCCTACTAAATTTAGGGTCCAATAACAGTCCAGTAACACGCCAGGTTTCATAATACATAACTGGTTAAAAACAAAAAGGAACCCGAACCAACATCCTGGCTGATAAGTTAGCAAGAAAGCTGGCACGTAAGCATCGTGTATTTTCTACTATCACGGTAAATTTTGTTACCTATTAAGCTCCTCGAAGCGGCTATAATGTTGGCCTGAGGTAACGATTAAGACAAAGATTATTGTTTTGATGGTAAACCTGTAGATGCGACAGACGTATGAAAAAGCTATCCAATTTTAAAATCTACTTTCAATACCTGAAACAAGAATAGGAAAATATGTATATGCGTATGTAATTTTTCGTAAAGATTTGTCAATTATCGACATGCAGGTTTCTTTTTTATTTCGAATTAGCATTTTTTCAGCCTGTTCAAAAGTTATCAAAATTTTGTTTACCAGTGTTGTCGTAAAGACAAAATCACTTAAGTTAAATTTGTATTGTTTATACATATTTACTGTTTTTATACATTTGTTACGTAGTGTTTATTAAAACCTGTGCGTTGGTGGCTCCTTCTCTATAGATTTACGTACATTTGCCATTGTTTAATAGCAATATCAGCTCTCGCTAACGGAGTAGAAAACATCGTAACGAAACCTGTACGCATGTCCACGAAGAACATGTCTATTTATTTATATTATCAATAATTGTGTGTCAATGTGTACTATCAGCAAAATCGATACGTTACCACTTCAAGGGTTCTTTTTGCATGAAGGTAGCGGCGGTCAGTAACGGCCACTCGCCGATTGCTTGTTACTGTAAACTAATGGCGTTTAAGGGCTAGATCGTATTTTTATTATAAACAAAAGGTTTTGGCTACAGTCCGCTTGCAAAGAAAACTGTTTTCGAACTAGAAAGGCTTCAGCGCTGCTGATAATATATTCCTCCCTGCGACAAATTGACAATAAGCATAAAACTAAGTTTATTTTCAATAGCATCTTGCCGTATACATCCTCGCTTTAGCGCGGCGAAGTCACCACTCTTTTGTACATGTTATTAGGCGGCTATATCTCTCCATTTGCATATTTCGGCAGTAAAATTAATTCGAAGATTTGCCCGCATCCAGACGAAGGGGGGACGTCTTGGCGGTGGTACTTCGAATTTGTGCATTCAGATTTTATAATCTATGGTTAAGTAGTCACTATTGAAAATATGACAGCGGTACTAGCACAGTGGGAGAACGGTGCTTCCTTGTGAGCAATACCTCTTGCCAACGTTGAAGGAAAATTTCGTAATGAAGATGTGTGTCGAAGACTGTACACAACCTTTAAAATAATCAAGTTTTTGTACGATTTAAAAATTTTGATTTACAAAAAAACTTGACACTCTTAATAGTGAATTGGTCAGTGATAGTTATAAGGTTTCATAACATTGAGGGAATAGTAAACACTAAATAGTGTTGTTACTTATTACCAGAGTGTTTTTTTAGTAAATGATTTGTCTTACATTTCTCTAAAAACGAACGTAGACAAAAAATAAAATTGCGATTGAGCCAATCTCAGAAGAAGGTGCAATTTCCTTCGTGGCCGAACGGTAACCATTCTGGATTGCCACGCAGCGGTCAGAATTTATTTTTCTCGTGAGTTTGCGTGTAATTTGAGATGTCATGCCACCCGCGTAGTACGGGCTCTATGAGTGTGTACGTTATTACTATGATTAAACTAGGTGCTTAATTTTTTACACCCTATACACACCATGTATTTTATAAATGTTCATAAATGACGTATCGTCACTTTCTCTCAGTGGAGTAGACAGAGACGACGGTTTTTATATTACTAAAATCATATCAGACTTTCGATTATATAGGTTTCCTATATTACAAGCTTCTGCTTAATTTAGGTTAGGCTCTAACAAGGATAATGTAAATATAATTTTTTGTCTACTATATTTTGGTTATGTTTGTGAAGAAAAAACATTAAAAAATGAAATAACTAGATGCACACTTGGACACAATCCCACCACTAGGGTAGCATGACAGGGCGCGTCTTGCGCGAGAGCGACATGAAGTTCGAGATCTCTATGCGGGAGTAGCAGTATCTAATGGCCGAACTCTTACACAAGGAGCTCTGTTGTTTTTAATTTTAGACCTGATATTGTGTTTCTTGGTTGACTTAAAGACTTGGTTGAAATATGTACGCCGAAGTCGGCCTTTCCCCAAACTTCCACCCACAAGTTTTGAATATTCGGTTTCTAACAACAAAAGTCATTATATCACATTAAAGGTATTAACTAATGTTAATGTAACGATTATAATGGTATCATGTTATTATTTATAGCGGTAGTACAACGAGAAAACGTTTGCTACTCAATTGGAGATACCGATTCGAATCCCTGTTGCGGCCTGTACCAATGACTTTAATTTCTAAGTCTCTATCATAAAGATAAAGATAAATTTGTTTCCATATAACTTAATCTAATACAATACAAACAAATGTAAATAATGCTATTATAGTATTCAAATAAGTGTGTAAATACCATGAAACTCTAATTTCAAAACTGGAACGCAGTACTGCTTACATTAGAGCTTGGCGGCAGAAATAGATAAGGTAGCAGTACTTCCCTGTAGAGCTAGCACGATAAGACGCGCCTTGCGCGAGAGCGACATAAAGTGCGAGATCTCTATGCGAGAATAGCATTATGCTGCATTATTAAAAACATTATGATATTGACAACACGGTATTCCAGGCATGAATGAATATGAATTTGAAGAGTAAAGACTCACTCCATTCGAGTACTCTCCGACAACATGTCAGTACTTCAAGCATTGAACAGCTGTGACATAAACTCCGGGCTCATTTACGAATGCTATCAGACATACATGGAGGTATGTACACACAACCACGTAACTCTACAATGTATTAAAGGATACAGCGCCCCATGTGGCAATGGCGCAGCAGATGAACTAGCCAGAAAAGGGTTGGAGACGGACGCTGTAGGATCAGAACCCATAGCGTCCCTCCCCTACCAATGGCTAAGAACAACTATACACAAAGGTACAAAATCTTCTCATCATAACACATGGACAGCCCTTACGGTTTGTTGATAGGCGAGGGAAGTACCCCGACGCTCAACGCCAGTCTTTCTCGAAAATTAACCAAACTTAAAAGGCAAGAGCTGCGCACTCTAACTGCCGCCCTAACGGGTCATGATCCATACAATAAACACCTTTTTTAATTTAGGTATCACAGAGAGCCCTTTATACAGAGCGTGCATGGAGGGGGAGGAAACGGCCGCGCACATCCTACTACACTGCTCCGGCGTATCCAACTACAGGGCGAAGTACCTTGAAGTGCCGAGGTGGCTTCCCAAAATCTTCTGTAAACCGAGGAGGTTGCTAAGATTCCTGGAGGAGCTTGGGTGGCACGAGTAGGACCCTGCACCCATCACACGCAAAATAGGCGCTTTGTCGTCGAGTTGCACACACCAGCTCGTTGCACCAAGTACCAAGTATATAAATTACGACCTCCGTGGTACAGTGACTTACACACCGGTTTTCAAGGGGCCGCTATATCGGAGGTCTCGGGTTCGATCCCCGGTCGAGTCAGTGTAGAATAACTACCATTTCTATATTGTCTCGGATTTAGGTGTTTGTGGTACGTTTCGTTTGTTGTTTGTGATTTTTTTTTAATTCAAATGTAAGTGTGCATTTGACTTCCAACTCACCTGATGGAAAGTGACGATGAGGTCGACGATGGAGCATGCACACCTAAATAATGCCTATTCACTCTCGCCTTAAAAAGGTGCAAGTTATAATGTTCAGGGAACAAGTTATAATGTTCAGGGAACAAGTCTGCAGGCAGAGAATTCCACTCCATAGCCGTTCGCCATATAAATGTGGAAGCGTAACGCTTCGCGCGAATCTTTGGAATATCCACAACATAGGGGTGGAAGCCAAGCCAAGCCTACGCCTAATCTCCCGATGATGGAAAGGGGAAGGCGGAATTAAACCGTGTAATTCCATCGTACACTCTCCGAGATATATCCTGTAAAATACCGATAAGCAGGCAACTTTACGGTGGTGTTCAAGGCTCTGCAGCTTCGCCTCTACTAATTCCGAGTCACCGTTCCGAGTTCCAAGCCTCTTGACACGCTTGTCAATTGAATCCAAGGTGGCCAGTTGGTATGTAGCAGAGCCATCCCAAAGGTGGCAGCAGTACTCCATACACGACCGGACTTGTGCTTGATACAGCTGAAGCAACTGTCCTGATGTGAAGTAAGGCCTCACACTGGAAAGGATGCCAAGCTTCCTGGCTGCATTTTTGGCCATGGATTCAATGTATCTGCCGAAGTTCAGATTCGACGACAGGTCCATTCAAAGTAGCTGGAGACGGTCGGCTATCGGTATAGATATATCACGAAGAGTCGGAGTCAGCTCAAAGGGATTTCGTTTTGTGGAGAATAGACACGCCTGCTTATGGTAGCGTTATATTTGACAAGATTGGCATCGCCCCGATCGGAGACTGCCTTGGGCGTCAAATATAAACGGCTAACCATGGACACTTGACAAGACTGAATTTCCTCTCCACTGACTCCTGCATTGGTCAAGTATCTATCTACAACTGTGCTGTCATCAGCATACGCAAAGATACCTGGAATTAACATATCATTGATATGCAGCAAAAAGAGACTTGCAGACAGTACAGAACCCTGAGGAACTATCACCATATGTTCGGAAGAGTAACCTTCTAAGACC